CAAGCCCTCACCCCCCCCAACCAGCCCTTCCCCTAACCAGCCCCAAGTCCTCACCCCCCCCAACCAGCCCTTCCCCTAACCAGCCCCAAGCCCTCACCCTCTCCCAAACCAGGCCCAGCCCCGAGCCCTCCACAAAACTAGCCCCGAGGCCCTGGCCACCCCAGCGCCGTGCGCAGCAGGCTCTAGCGCCCCCTCGTGGCACACTCACCTCACACAACGCCCGCCTTAGCAGAGCACACCGCGCATGTGCAAAACGAACCCGGCTGGGGAACAAGCCCCGTTTACAGGCAGCTCAGCTCACCAACAGGAGACGGGGGGGGGGCCCCAGCGGAAGATTTGTCCAATAGCAGGGGGAGGCGGGGCAAAATGCGGGAGGAAAGGGGCGTTAGCCCTGGAAGGAACGCGAGTACGGAGGGGCGGACCTGGGAGTAATTCCAACCAATGGAGAGGGAGCTGAGGGCGGGGCCGGAGTGGCTCTGCCGAATGGGAGGGATCTAGGGGCGGAACCAGAGCGCCACGTGCAGCTGGCGCTGAGCAGCAGGCTGGGCCGGAGTCAGCAGCATGGCGGCGTCGGGAGCGAAGAAGAAACAGCAGCAGCGAGCGGCCGCGGCGGGGGGAGCCGGGCGCAGGCGGCGCAAGGTGGGGGCGGGAACAAGGGCGCCCATTGGGGAGGAGATGGAGATCGGTTAGGGCAACAAGTGAGGAGCTGGTGGGGGAATCGGGGACGGATGGGCGGGGAGACAGAGGGGCGGGGTGGAGGAATCGAGGGATGGAGGGACTGGGTAGAGGAAATGGGGCAGGGGGCTGGGTGGGGGAATTGAGGGCTAGGGGGCTGGGTGGGGGAATTGAGGGCTAGGGGGCTGGAGGGGTTGGGTAGGGAGAACGGGGTGGAAGGCTACAGGGGTTGGAGGGAGCTATGGGAATGGAGATAGGTGGGGGGCAAAAGGGCTGGGGGGAATGGGGGAGGAAGCAAGGATTTCCTAGGTTGGCTAAGGTAGTTGCCTATCACTTTTCCTCTGCTTATTATGGACTGGAGGTGACAACATTGTGGGGATCCTAGGGTGGTTGCAAGGAATGGGCTCTCCCTGCCCATTGTCCCCCTCGGTCCCAGTTATGAGAGGGGAGACAGCGTGGGCTGGTGTTCTTCTCCCCCCCCCCCCCCACACCCCTTGTTGCTGTAGGCAGGATGTGCTGAAAGAGGGTTTTGTTCTTGAGGTCCCTGATGCAGAGGAGAAATCCTGGCAGAAAGCTGGCTCGAAGCTGAATGAGGAGATCTCCAGCGACTCCGATGCAGAGAAGTAATGCACTAGCCCCCCTGTGGGTGTTGCCCCAAAGGGTCCCTCAGATAGCCACCCTGCAGAGCAGAACCCAGGAAACATCCCTATCCATGCACACCCCTCCTTCCACTCCAAGGTGCCCAAACACTGTAGAGGTGAGGGCCATAGGAATACAGAGAGATCCCTCCTCCTGGGGTTCAGTGGGGGGAAACAAGGTGGGACACCCAGAGCTCTTCTTTTGTATGCTTTTCCTGAGATCACTGTGCAACTTCCTACAATCAGGAGACAGTGGTTTCGGGGGCCTGTCCCAGACTGGGGAACAAACTCCCCCAGGAATTAAGGACCATCACCACAGTGTGTATAAAAAAAATCCCAGACCACTCCACTGCATACACTTCTCCCTTTAGGAGGGGAGGAGAGAATAAGCATATGAAGATGTTACTCACATTGCTCAGTTGGAAAGCACTCAGATGCTACAGTGATGAGCATGGTGTAAGTATCTACATAGACTAGAATCTGGCTCCATGGTTCTATGCAGGCTGTTCTATCCTGTTCATTTGGATGGATTCTTGCAGAACTATAGTTAGTTACAGTTGCATGAAGCACTTTGTTCCAAGCCAGACTTTCACAGTCCCTCTCACTTAAAGTGGTGGGGGCCACTGTTTCAGAAATGTGGGGTCTAATACTAGGTGGTGGGGACCCTCTCCACTTAATGTTATTTCTTGGTTAATTACAAAGAACTTGCCCTTTTATACACTTTTAAATAAAGTTGAGTGGGGCCTGTTTATGTACTTAAACTGCTGTGCATGAATGTCCCTCTGTACACAGACTTCAGTCCAAAAGCAGATTTTATTGACTGTATACTAGACTACAAATGGCCTATAAAGTGAAAGGTGTTATGGTTGGAGGAAGAGACCCCCTCCCATGCACCCCCCCACCCTCCCTCTCTTCCCCTGTAGCCCTACATTTGGTGGGAAGCGGAAGAAGGACAATGAGGCAGAAGAGATTGAAGAGACGGCACAGGAGAAGAAGCTGAGATTAGCCAAACTTTACCTGGAGCAGCTTCGACAGCAGGGTGAGTATTCGGCAGGCTGGGTGCGTGTGGCTGGGCAGTGCAGGGGATGCTATTGAGGAGCGAGGACACTAGTAGCTGTACCTCAGCCCTGCTGCTCTTCCTTACTGATTTGCACACAGGAATTGTGCCTCTTCCCTGCTACTCAGGCTTCAGTGCTGTAATGAGTGGACTGCTTTCGCTTGATGAAATTTTCTATTAAGCACAGACCCCAAAGAAGAGGCAGTCTAAACTCCTTGGGGACAATCTAAATAGTTTAATGCATTTACTAGTATATAGAGAAGTATAAAATTAAAAGTGACAAAAATGCGGTGTCTCCTACTCCTTGCCTGCTTGCTTACTTTCCTAAAGGTGGCAATTCAGCATAGGTGACCCAGTTGCTACACAAATCGAATCTACAGTTTGTCTTGACATGTAACAATGGATGTGTTGTCTGTGTTCCGAGTAACTTGAAAGAAAAGCTCTGAAATGCTTTTTGTCATCTGCATTGTTGTGTCCTGAAGCTTGTTGTAAGTCATCTGCTATGTAAAATACTATCTTTTTTGGATAAAGTCTGCCACAGTTGCAGAATAAGCTGCTGGTCTCTGAGTACATCACCTGAGGTGTCAGGCCTTGCCTAGCCTGGGACAGGATTCTGCAATTCTCCTACTCTTAGACTGGGCTACTATATCCTGTGTATTAAGGCTGGTTATCCTGCAGGTGTGATTGAGTTTGGCACCTGCAGTTCTTCCGTTTAGGAGTCTGATCAGCGGTAATGTAAGATAGTGGACTTACTGCTGGAGTTCCCCCTTGTGGATCGGTGTGGCATAGTATCTTTTTCCTCATTTAGTGCCCCCTGGTGACAGCTGGTCCAGCCCTGCAGGGGTCTCTTCTCATGACATGGCCCTCTGGTCAGGTCATGCTTTAGTCCCATGTATTTTGGGGTAACAGTGTCACAGGTCAGAGGTACCAAAACTCTTCCACCCTTCCCAGGGTTGATCCTCTGCAGGCTTTGCCCCCGTCCCAAGCTCTGCAGGGCCTTTCCTCTCTTACAGAAGGCTGCCTCCCCAGGCTTTCTCCCTGATGGTCTGGCTCCTCCCAGGCCACTGACCCTTAGGGCTTCTTTCCTAGAGTCTGTCTTCTCCCTGGTCTGCTTTAAGGGTCCCCTACCCTCGCCCTTCAGGAACATTTCCAGGATACAAGTTCCTTTCTGCAGGCTCCTCTGTGGTTCCTCTCCCAGAGAGTGGAAACTTCCAGCAACCCCTCTCCTGGGGCTCCTGCCAGATTTCTCTCCTTGAGAGGATTCCTGAACCTCCTCCTAGTCTCCCCACGCTCTAGTCCTACAGAGCAACTGCAAAGTTTCTCTCTCCAGCCCCTTCTGCTCAGGGCTTCCCCTCTTTTATAGCACCATTAGCTGGGCTTCATCTTCAGTTAAGCCTGACCCACCCTCCAGCTGGGTTAATTGGCCTTTCCCTGCCACAGTGACCCTCACAGGTGTGCATAGTGCCAAAACAGGCTCTTAAAACCACAATTTCTATGCTGCAGTAGGAACAAAGCATTGGAGAGAGAGGATTATAGAACAGAATGGTCTAGACACATCTGCCTTGTCTAAAGGCTTACAATCCCCTACTGTTAGCCTAGGCAGGCCTGACCTCTTCAGACAACCCACCGGGTGCCTGTCTCAGCCTGTTTTCCCCCTCCCTTGAGAGCGGGTTCCTTTTTAACCCTCTGGCAGCTTTTTTACTCTGTTCCTGCCCTTCTGGTCAACAGCCCTGTGGGGTCAGCAGGAGACAGAACCAGAATCATGAAAGCACAAAGGCCTGGCATTGTCCTTAACAACTCTCAGGTGTTTGCGGAGTGGTGGCTTAGCTCTTCTTCTTTGCTGCTGGTTTTCCCAGACTGCCCTGTTGATCTAAGTGGCTAGTCATACAGTAAGCACCCCAATAACCAAGCCAACATACAGAACTTGTAAATTACAAAGCCGTTCCAAATCATCAGTCTACATCCAAGATCTTGCCATCCTTCAACGTCTCATTGGGGAAGCACAAATAGGATGTCATTAAAGGATCTAAACAAGGCACGTGCCAGGTTTAAAAAACTTGAAAGATCTGCTAGTGAGACTGTGCTGTTATTCATAGATTCCAAGGCCAGAAAGGGACCACTGTGCTCATGTAGTCTGAACTCCTGTATAACACAGGCCAGAGATCTGCCCTGAAATAATTCCTGTTTGAACTAGGACAGCTCTTTTAAAATACACTTTATATCCCCCTTATATAGGATTGCCAGTGATAGGAAATGCACCATGACACTTGGTAAAACTTTCCAGTGGTTAATTACCCTCACTGAAAAATGTACACCGTATCTCCAGTCTGAATTTGTCAACCGCCTGTACTTTATCCTTTGCATGTAATGGCAGTAAAAGACTTCTTTTTTTTTTTTTTTTTTCTGTTTTAGGGTAAATTTAGATGGCTTGTTTTCCTAGCAGGATAAGTACAAGTCTCACTGAGACTAATATAACAAGAGGGCAGTGTTACTACTGTAGCTTGTTCTGGGGAATGCTTCAGAGGGAGTGTAGCAGTTAGATCAAGAGGCCTGGATTCTGACCTTGGATCTGCTGCCAATTTACTGTGAGATGTTGGGCAAGGCCATCCCTTCTCTGCACATCCATTTCAATGCTTGTTAAAGTGGGGACAGTACAGGAGCCATGGGCATGATGCAGTTCTAGCTTTCAGCTGCATTCACACTAAGCCCTGGCTCCATTCCCCATTGAGCTGACAAAATCACCACCTAACCCAGCAGGGAACTGACCCAAAATAGGACTTTGCAATGGCAGGAACATCCCGAGACACTAGCAGCTTTAAGATTCCATTGCACGTAACAGCAAGCACATCATGTTTTCCCAAAATTTCTGAGTAGTGCCAAAGGATGCATAGACTATAAGCTTGGATCCTACAATGCCACACTTGTCATAAGAACCTCTATAGACTAGAATGACCCAGTGAGGAAGTTTCAGGTGTGTCGGTCACACCTGCAGCACCCCCTATCCAGCTGTTTTAAAAATAATCCCCAGAAAAGGATATAAAATGCAGCCAGATGAAGCCCTGAAGTATGCTCAGGAACTGCTTATAGCACGGGCATAGTGATAAACTCTGCCTTAAAGTGGTAATGCAAGAGCTAGAATACTTAAGTTTCCACATGTAACCCAGGGTTGTGAGTTCAATCCTTGAGTGGGCCACTTAGGGATCTGAGGCAAAAATCTGTCTGGGGATTGGTCCTGCTTTGAGCAGGGGGTTGGACTAGATGACCTCCTGAGGTCCCTTCCAACCTTGATATTCTATGCTGATATGGGGGGATGTGTAGTCTGCTGTTGGCCAGGAAACTACCGTAAATGAGACTGGGCCCGATGATCTGGGGTCTAAGTCTGGAGCAGGAGGGCTGACCAGGCAGTCACTGGGGACCAGCTCCCCACGTATTTGCATAGTTAAAAGCCTGTGCTAATATTCCGATGTGTAGCTCCTTGAGGGCTGTCTGCTGCTTGCTCCTCTTGGAGAGGAAGCTCTGCTAATGCAGGAATGTTCATTGCTTCAGTCGAATGCCTTCTTGCTGTGCATGCGGAGCTCCATTCCTAATGTGCTGTCTCTGTGCTTGTGTCTTGGACAGAGGAGGAAAAGGCAGAAGAGGAGGCCTTGGAAAAGGACTTGGTTGCTGGCCGACTGAAGGAAGATGTGGTGAGTAGGCTGCTTGGGGGAGAGGAGTTAATGGATTCAGGGGCTCCTTGCTTGCTGACGTCTTTTCTTTCGAATTGCGCCTGCTTCTTCCCTTCTGATGCTCCTGGAGCCCTGGGGATTTCCCCCCTCTCCCTTCCCCCCAATTCCTTTCAGCCTGCCTTGAGGGCCTGTCTCGTGGCTACAATCTCTGAGACGAGAGTGTCTGTTCACTCCCACACACGTGCATTTGACTTTTACTGCGGCTTTCGTTAAGTAGCCAGAGCAAAGCTAAGTCTCTGCCTTCCAAACATCCCCCCAGCTGGGGAGAAAGTGACTTGAATCTCTGCATGGAATTCCCCCCCCTCCTCCCCCTCCCCCCCAAATCATCTTTCTGATTCGCACTGGTCTATGGCTCTCTGAACCTGAGGGGAACCAAGCAGCTGCTCCATGCATGGGAACCTGGTCCTCTGCTAAGCAGAGAGGTAAACACATCCATGGGCCTCTTTGCATATTCCTGTTTAAACCATCAGCATTCTTAAGGTGCCCATCACCTAGGTTGCCTAACAACACATGTATTGGCTTAGTGTTAATATAAGTATTGGGAAGTTATGTTCACTTGAATGTATTATACTCTCTCCACAATTCTGGCCACCCTTGTCAAGTATCCCATAACACCTTGCGTTCGCAGAAGTAAGCTTTGGCTTAGGAAGATAGGAAAACGGTCGGGATCAGCACACAGGAGTGTTTTATCATAGCAAGAGGTAGGGAGTAACTCTCTCAGGCTACTACTAGAATGTCCCAAAGAAAAAAGATAAGACCATGCAAACCACAGAGGTGCCTTCACGGGCCCAGTACCTGGAGTGCATGCTCTCAGAACAAAGAGGTAAGGGGGTACAGCATGGTACCAGAAAAACAACATAGAAAGCTGATTGGTTAAATCCAGTTTCAGGTGATGTACACAGCACTTCTTGTAAATGGGTAGGATATAGAAAGGTGGCTTTAGGGTGGTGACTTTGGGAGCACATCTTTGGTGTAAGGTGAATTTAACACTTCATGAGAGCTTCCCAGAGCCAGGTTCAATATGATACTGTTCTTCTTGTCCTATGCTTTTTATTGCCTTTTAGCAACAAGCCTGGGTGACATTGGTTATTTGGTTTTCTGGAATGTATTTCAGGCCGAACCAAAGCGTGGTCAAGCAGTTGACTGTGCAACTGAACAACTTTTGTATCCAAATTGTCCTCATTCCACATCTTGTAAGGGCAGAATAGCCTCCACTATGCAGGGACTGAGTGCCTAGGGCTTTGCTGCTCATGTCTAACTGCCTTGTACTTTCAACAGCTTGAACAGAAGGGAAAACTGCAGCGACTGATCGCCAAAGATGTAAGTTTGCAAAGCTTTGCATGAACAGCTCTGTTTCAGAGTTGGGTAGGGGCAGGGAGAGGTTGCTGGCTGCCCATTCTCCCCTTGGGGGGGGAGGGGGGGAAGGGGAGGGTGTCTCATTGTCATGTGATCCCTTTCTGGACTGGCTCAATCTCCCAGCTGTCAGATCGACTGTTCTCTCTCAATGCAGGCGCCTCGGACGAGCTTGCTCCTAGTTCAGTTGAAAATAACAGCATTTGCATGTTAGGGCAAGGTGGCCCTGCAGTAACCTGGGACTCTTGTGGATCCAGGTTTGCTCTGTGGAAGCGTGTCCTAATGGGTAGAGCACTGGACTGGACAGCAGGAGACCTGGGTTAAATTCCATGCTCTGCCACAGACTTCTTGAGTGACCTTGGGCAAGTCATGTGGCATGTTTGTGCCTCAGTTTCCTATCTTAAAATGGGGATAATAGCATTGTCCTATCACAGGGGTGTTGGTAGTGCTCTGTTGTTGGTAATGGGGGTGGGGGGGTATATAAGTACCTTTAAATATTTGAAAATCTTGACCTTCTAAAGTTGGGTGCTGACAGCTAGATCTTTGAGGTGCTGCGCTCCCACTGAAGTCAGTGTGTATCCCATCACCAGGGATAAAATAGCTCGCAACCCCATGCAAGTTCTGTGGCGCCGGAGCACTTTGTTAATGAGGTGCTGTGTGTGAACAGTTGCAGCCTCCAGATACAGCAGCCATCCGAGTGCTGCGAGGTCACCAGCTGCCCATCACCTGCCTGGTCATCGCTCCAGATGACAAGTGCATCTTCTCAGCTGCCAAAGATTGCTCCATCATCAAATGTGAGTTGTTCCTAGGCCACCTCCCCTCTTAGTCCAGTGGCTTGCAGGTTCCAGCATTTCCAAAGACAGTTGTGAAGAGCATCCTCTCCCATCTCCCGGCAGGTGCCGTGTTCACACGTTATAGCTATGCAGGGCAGGCTGATAGAGCTTGTCAATTTCTAGTTTTGCTTGTAGCCTCCTCTTCTGAAGGGAAGTCTCTTGCTTTGTTACAAGCTAGATTTTAGTGCTGGAGCAGCACTGACCCTGCAAGCAGGATCTAACTCTTCAGAAGTGTCCACTAATTTGGGGGGGGAGGGGTGTCCCTCAGTTCTTGAGTGCTTAGCTCCAAACACCTACACCCCTGTTTTCCAGAAGTGCCATGCACACGCAGCTCCCACTGCCTTGGGGGGAGGAGGGGAGGGAGAGAGAAATGGGTGCTTAGATCTTAGGGGCCCAAAATAAGTTGACCCTCCTGAAAAAATGAGTCTCGGACTTTAGCATTCACAGTGGGATAGAAGGCACTATTAAGTACAGCGTCAGCTCTGCCCTCTGGCAGCTTGCTTTGGGGCTGGTGCAGGAACTCCACTGTACTGTTGTGATCCTCCCGCACCTTGCTCTGAGCAGATGTGGATAGTTGGTATCACCTGCCTCATTACCAAGGAGTCCCCGTTAATGGAACGAGATGGGTGAGCTGGGACCATCAGGTGTGCCTTGCATGCTCTACTTCCTAACCCTCTGGGGAGGCGCTGGCCCTGTCTCTATGGCCCTTGGCTTGCCAAGAGGACATGCTGGCCAAGGCAGCCCTGCTAGTCTGGCTAAGAAAGCCAGAGGCTTAGCCCTGCAGAATCAGGCAGGAGGTGACCGATGCAGTCTGCTGCAGGGGATGTGGAGAGCGGGAAGAAGTTGCACGTGATCCCTGGAGGGAAGAAGGGGACAGAGGCCCAGCACGTCGGCCACACAGCGCATGTTCTCTCCATGGCCATCTCGTCAGATGGCAAATACCTGGTAAGGAGGAACGGCCAGGCCCTGCCCTCTCCCCTGCTGGCTGGCTCACCCTTGTTCTCTAGTCATGCAGTGAGAGGAGGCTCTTGTCGTTGAGTTCTTGGCACACGCTGTCAGCTTTCTGCTTCATTGCAAATGCTGGACCCCCTTTGATCCCCCGCCCTGCTGCCCGCTCTCCGTCCCTGGCCCCCCCTCGGAGCTGGGTGGGCTGCTCTGGCAGGCAGAGCTGGGCGCTGCCACCCTCCAGAGAGGATACAGGAGCTGCAAACAGCACATCAGCTGTGAGTGCATGGTACACGGCTTGTCTGGTGAGACCTTGTTGGGGGAGCTTGCTCTGATAGAAGCAGGGTCCATCTCTGCCCCAGTGGCGAAATGCTGATGGCTGCTGTGCCATGATTGGGACCAGTCACCGGCAGCACACACAGTATCACCGCTGCCTCTCTGGCTGGCTGCACAGCTGGATCTCACCAGCCTTGGGCTCCAGCGTTGGCTGTGGTGCTGATGGGACCATCCCGAGAGGAGGAGGAAGGGCAAAGGCTGTTTGCTCTGTATGCTCTCCAGGGGAAGACAGTGAGCCGGGAACAAAACCAAGGGGTGGCTAGTGGGGAATCCCATCTGGCTGAGACCTCTCCCTGTGGGCCTCTGAAATGGCAGCAGAACATAATAGTGCAGCCACACAGCCCGCTGTGATGACACAGACCCAGGAAAACTAGTTAGGGGCTGCTGGTGAGAGTGTCCTCTGTCTCCCTGCCAGGCCACAGGAGACAGGAACAAACTGATCATGATCTGGGAGGCTGTCACATGCAAGCACCTGTATAAATTCACTGGCCATCGAGACGCTGTGACGGTGAGTGGCTGGAGTGCTGGGGCCGAGTAGCTCAGACACAACTAGGCGGCTTTGAGCACCCGATCCTTCCACACTGACTTGGGAAATATATCTAGGCTCTGACTAAAAGTCAGGGAGCCCTTTCTCCATGGGAATCCTCTTCCCCCTTTGCCGAGTGCCTTTCCTCTGAGGTGCTGAGCTCGGGAGGGGTGGGAAATTTGGCTGCTTCCAGGGCAGCCTTTCCTTAGGGTAGTCACCTTGGAGAATGCAGTTCTGGATCGGCATTAAAGCCACTCTTCTGTATTTAGCACCTGTCTCTCCCCCCATGCAGGGCTTGTCGTTCCAGAAGGGCACTCACCAGCTGTACAGCGCCTCGCACGATCGCTCTGTCAAAGTCTGGAACGTGGCTGAGAACGCCTACGTGGAAACTCTGTGAGGACCCAGTTCTCTGTGCCCTGGGGCAGGAGAACCAGGGCGGCTGAGCTGGGAGGATTATGTGGCTTTTGGGGTGACTCTGGAGATGGAAGACTGGGATTCCTGGGCAGGGGGCTCCAGCAGACTTGGCCCAGCAATGCATTTGGCCCCCAAGCTGTCCTATGGTCACTGCTCAAGGCTACCCTGCCCTAACAAGCGGCCCATTCAGTTTGGTGGCACCCATGGTCGGGAGCCCTCCTACTGCATCAGTAGCTGTGATGTGGCTGCAGCTCAGAAATCTCCTGAGGGCCTGAGTCATTCTTGCCAAGCGTGGTTATCTGAGATAGACATCGCCACGGCTTCTACCAGCTGTGTCTGGTGAGAGGCCAAGTATTCTGTGGGGGTGGAGGCCTGGTGTGCTATAGCCACAAGCCCCCCATCCAGGAGAACCAGTGATCAGCGTCGGCCATGCGGTGGTGGGAGATGACCATCGAGGCTGAGAATGCAGAGCCTGTGTGGGAAGAGATGTAGAAGGTGCCAGGCTGGGCTCCCTGGGTTACTGAGACTGGGTCTCATCTTCTGCTCGGTTTGCCCCCCGACTCCAGGTTCGGGCACCAGGATGCGATCACGGGGCTGGACAGCCTGAGCCGGGAGTGCTGTGTCACGTCAGGCGGGCGAGACGGCACCGTCCGGGTCTGGAAGATCCCTGAGGAGTCTCAGCTTGTGTTCTACGGGCACCAGTAGGTGTGGGCAGCAGCCTCTGCAGAGGGTAGTGAGGGCTGCGGGGTGTCTGCTCCGCTTAACCCACTTCACCTTCCATGGCAGCTCCTCTGCCAAAGCATAATACCCATCTGGTGGTTGCCAGCAACTGCGCTGCAAGCCCTGGTCTGTTCTATCTCCCCTCCTCCGCTCTGCAGCCCAGTGTCTTGTCAGATGCCTCCCAGCACCTGCCTCGTGCATGGTTATCGGCCACACCTGTTGAGCTGGTGGTGGCATGTGCTACTTTGCCTAGTGCCTGCAGGAGTGATGCAGACATGCTGGGTTGGGGAGGCTGGCTGGCCATCCACAGCACTGCACGGTGCATGGGACTGCTCCTCCCGGCAGCAGCTCCTGGAAGCAGCTCAAGCCAAGCTCCCATATCACAGTGGTGCAGCGTGGAACTAGGCCAGCCAGGCTGAACCACAGGGCAAGCGGCTCAGCCGGCAGGAGGACTCGTCCAGAGCGTTCATGCCAGATCCCAGTGGGGGAGCAGCCAAAAGGGGAAATGTGCCCTTCTGGGAGGTGACCTAGGGAATGCTCCACCTCTAGGGGGCTGCCTGTTGCAGTGAGGGCTGCCAAGGAGGCCTGTTCTGAAGCATGCCGAGTGCCACCAGCACAGTCTCCTTTGAGGGGTAGTGTTGGAAGCCCGGTCTGCACTCAGCTCAAGTTCTGGGGTTACCCTTGCCTCAGGTGCTCTGGCACCCTGCAGGGTAACTTCCCAGGGGGCCCACAGCCACAAATCATTCTCCTCCTTCCCTCTGCCCATCTTAGGGGCTCCATCGACTGCGTCCAGCTGATCAACGAGGAGCACATGGTGTCCGGCGCGGACGACGGGTGAGTAACCCTGCTGGAAACATGCTGGGGGTGCTGCAGGCCTGGGCTCTGGCACGTAGCCTCATCCGCTCCACATCTCACAACAGGTCGGTCGCCCTTTGGGGTCTTTCAAAGAAGAAGCCGCTCACGACGGTGAGGCAAGCGCACAGTAACCACGGCGCCCAGGGCCTGGAGCAGCCGTACTGGATCTCCTCAGTGGCCACCCTGCTGAACAGTGACGTTGTAGCCACAGGTGCCTCGCGCTGTGAGACCCTCGCTTTTGCTGTTGCTTTGGGACTGGGGCGGAGAGGAAGGATGCAGTACATTGCAGGCCCCTGGCAGCTGGGCGATCTTGGCTTCCTCTCTGGCTCTGGCTTTGGGCTTCCTCCCTGGCTCTTATCCTCCCTGCAGCTTGGGCCAGCACTCTGTACAGCTGGGACAATGCCTGTCTCGTGGGCAGGGGCCGGGTTACTGTTTGAAGTGCTCCGAGGGGCTCAGATGGAAAGCGCCCTGGACGGGTCATTCCTCAGGCTCCTAACTTCTCTCTTCTTCTGGGAACCTGGCTCTGCTTTCCTGGCAGCCCTGGGGAATTTACCCACAACTGGCCCTATGCTGCTCTCAACTAGCCCAGTCCCTGCCACTCCTACAACTCCTACCCCTGGCACTCTCAGGCTTGCCACCCTGGCTTAGAAACTAGCTGAGGAGTGGGGAAGTCCTGCTTGGATGGGAAGGGAGTGGTTTGGGGCAGGCTGGGAGGGGGAGGGAAGGCTTGGTTTGAACTTGGATCCATGTCACATACAATAAATGACTGGTGAGCTCGGAGCAAGAGGTAACTGCACCTGGGGTTCTGGGGACATTGGCTGGGCCTCTCCAGAGAGCCACGGCCTTGTGACCAGTCTGTCCTGTGTGTCACTGGCAGGAGATTGCTGCGTCGCTCTCCTCTCTGGTCCTGACTCGCTCCCTCAGAGTGATGAGGATCCACCGCCGCCTAACCCCAGGCAGGATGGTGTTTTCCCCTGGAATAGGCCAGCTTGCTGCTCCAATTGCCCAGCCAGCAGCTTCAGCTTCCTGTGGTTCCCGTTGTGTTGGTAGGGTGGCAGGGAGGGGGAGCTGGGCTGTGTGGGGTTCCGGTCGTGGATGCCAGCAGGGCTTGGTGTGGTGGCAGGGCTGTGGGCTGAGGGAGACCACGCTACCTTGGATCGGTGCAGAGCGTGGCGGGGCCCGGGGGAGGCGCAGGGCCTGGCCGCCCAAGGCCCTCACATTCTGCTCTGTGACCGCAGGCTCGCACAGCGCCAGCGTGCGGCTGTGGAAGTGCGGCGAGGGATTCCGAAGGCTGGAGCCGCTCTTCGACATCCCCCTGGTAAGAAAGGGGCGTGGGCATGAAGGCTCCCTCTTGGCAGGCGAGGCTCATGGGAGTGGATACTTGGGGCTGAGGAGAGATGGGAATTTCCCTCTTCTGTCCAGCTGAGTTCCCCTTCCCCAAACGAGTCTGCTGTGCAGGCTCGGGTGAGGGAGTGCAGGTTTTGCTGGGGTCTGGAATAAGCCCAGAGGGGCTCCTCCCATCTGGTGTGTGAAGCCAGTGAATTGCTGAGATTAAATCCCTTCTCGGCCTGATCAAAGTTGCATTGCCCTAATGGGAGCCCTGCACTCGAGTGTCTCGGCAGACTAATAGCTCTCAAGCCTGCGGTACTGGCCTCATGCCTTTTCCTCTCTCTCAGATCGGCTTTGTCAACAGCTTGAAGTTCTCCAATGCTGGGGATTTCCTGGTTGTTGGGGTCGGACAGGAACACAGGTACCGGCCTCGATGCTAGCTACAGGCTACATGGGGTCCCAGGGGCTCTGGCCCAAGGCCCCAGCTGCTAATCCCAGACCCTCTTCCAGCCCTTGTGGTTGTCCCTCTGCAGTGTGCAGTCTGAAGGAGCTGGCAATGGGGCGGAGCCTGTGCTGGGGACTTAGAAAAATCCAACATTTGGCATTAGACTCCTCTTCAGCTGGGAAGAAGGGTCTGTTGAATGCTGGGAAGGGGCAGCTTTCGGGGTGAAGCATGCGACGAGTGGGCTGTCTAGGAGGGGAGGGCAGAAAATGGCACTAACCCTCTTAAAAGCCCGGCTGGCACTGGTATGAAACTCCTCCTGCCATTGCTCCAGGGCAGCCTTACCAGTGACTTGCTTTCTCCTGGGGGAAATGGAGACACATCTTCCCCTTCTGTAGACCAGAGATGGCGCATCTCAGGTGCTGGATCTCTGCAAAGCACTCCAAGAGCCCCTGGGAGGCGCTAGAGCAGCGTGAAGCACTGAGTGCCAGCACCAGGACCCTCTGAGGAGGGAGCTCAGCTTGGCACCAGGTGGCTTTCTTGCTGGGGAGTGGGGGAAACAAAAGCTCAGGGTCTCTCTCTCTCGTGTTCAGGTTGGGCCGCTGGTGGCGAATCAAAGAAGCCAAGAACAGCATCTGCATCATCCCGCTGCAGAGGACGGCGGCTGGCAGCGCACAGCCAGCTGACGGCTCCTAACCCTGCTCCCCTCTTGCATACGGTCGTGTTGCTCCTAGAGCTTTGTGAGACTCTTGAGTTAAAACTTTGCATTAAAAGCAAACCCCCTGTGTAAAACCCTGCTGTCAGTGTCGGCCTGTCTACGGCTCGGATGCTTTGTCACATGCGAAACCAGAGGCAAGGACGTCCTCTTGGGCCGGTTGCAGGCTGGGCACAAGAGGAAAGGGAGGTGCAGCATATGAAATGAAAAGCCCAGGCCCCTGTGACAAACTTACTCCTGCCCCCAAAAGGCCAGCGGCAGAACCTGCTCCAAAGGTGTGAGTGGCTGAGACCTGGCCTTTTTTGGGGGGGAGGGGCAATGGACATGCAGACTAAGCCATGGCAGCCCCAGTCTGACTCCCTCCCTTCCCAAGAACAGGCCAGAGCCACTCACTCAAATGGCCCATGACCTTCAAGGGCATGTTGCAAGGGGCAGCCCTGTCTCTGCCTGCTGAGATCCCATGAAGAATTCCCTTTCTCTACAGATGTTGGGGCTTGTGGCAGGTCCCAGCATTTTCTCTTCCCTTTCGTACTTAGCCTCAGGGATGAGACGAACTTCTGTGGGGAAAGCTGAGTAACATGCAGTTGTGCTGCTAACTGTAAGTTACCCCCAGGCTAAGTTCTCGCTTAGCTTGTGTGCGTGCACTGCCCACACCGAAAGTCCTGAGTAATCACAGCCCTGTAGATTCCACCGCAAGAATCCAGACATCAGTTCTGTGGGGGGAGGTTGTGCAGCAGATCTGGAGAGACTCTACTGCCTTTATTCAAACAAGGAGACAGGCCTCTTATGCATCTACTCCAGAACGTCGGGTGCAATCACAGCATGAGCCCTCCCTCATTCTGATCAATCTGGGGGTAGGTTTGTTTTTGTTTTGCTCTCCCTCAGTCTCGGTGCTGCAGACCTTTGGACTGATGATGCAGATCTCCGTTGTAGGTAACATCAAGGGAGGTTTGGAAGCTACTGTTCATGGCTGCTCATGTACTAAAGTTCAAGTGTCACTCATTTTGTCTCGAAACTTGAGGCATTTTTAAATGCATCTGTGCTAACAGCAGCTGCAGCCTTGGAGACTGAATTAAGTGCTGTCATGTCTGTTTCCACCTGGGATCTGTCTTCAAGAAGAGCAGCTCTAAACTGCATTTTGATCAAACTGGAGCTTGCAGTGGGGGTTAGGCTGTTTGGTGCTAAGCTAGAAAAGCAGGACCATTAAAAACCACCTCCTGTAGTTAAGATTTTAATCTCAGCTGTGACACTACGTGTTTTGTTCTTTTAAATAGCTGTTCCTTAAAGCCTTGCAGGCTACTGCCTAAAAGCTATGACTGCCTGCATGCTGCTCTTACATGGGCTTTCGGCTGCTATTCTCGTTATCTGAGAGCTGATGGCTGCGCTAGCTTGGGTTGTGGTTTTTTTATTATTATTATTTATTTATTTATTTATTTATTGCAACAGTTCTGCTCGTGGACCTTCAGGGATAAGTTCAGCTCAGCCACCTATGCCAGCTCTGTTCCTGTGCATCAGCTCTTACGATAGCTGTGTCTGCCCAGCTGCATTGACGCTGCCTGGTGTGGTACTGTACCTGAGCTGGGCCTCCCTGCATACTGCACTGGGGGAATGAACACCAGTGCTAAGAGTAAAACAAGCCCTAGTGTCCCTCCCCACAACCTGGGCCAGAGGATCACTGAGCACAACGTCTGGTAGAGACTAACTGAGGTCCTAGCGTTTGCCCTGCTACAGGTCAGGCACAACCTTGGCCTGAGGTCTTACCTGCCTTAGCCAAACAGTGGCTTCAACTTGCCAGTGGAGCTAGCCCTGTGCCGTCTTTGCTACTCCCAGCCCCTGGCTGCTGCACACATGGCAGACAGCTGTGTGCCTTGCATAGTGGGGCAGTGAGGAAAGCTCATTAGAGAGAGTTAGCTGTCTCCAGTTTGTTAACAGGCAGATATACAGAGCCTGACATGGAGTGCTAGCCCTCAGGGAACAAATGGAAGTGTTCAGTAGCTCAGTTCACTCCATCCTTGCAGCCGTAGGCCACAAGCAGATATTAGCATCTGTTTAGGGAAGGAAAACCTAAGGAGGGGGAGGGAAGTGATGTCCTTGCGCTACAGCTGCAGCCTCTGCTGTGAGGACTCAGCCCAGCCCTGAAAGGGCTGCATGCATCCTGGGTTGCAGCCATGAGCCAGGGCCCTGGTGAAGGGGAGGAAGGGGCTATTGGCAGATGCACTGTGGGTGGCGTCCACCCCCCTCCCCTTCCCCTTCCTCTTCCTCTCCATCCCCAGCAGGGGAGCAAGCTAGCTAACTCTGGCCTCCCCTGGGGTTGGCTTGGAAAAGTCACTGCTTTTAGCATGAGCATGGGCTCAGCAGCCTGCCCCTGCTGCCAGGGCAGTGTTGACTGGGGGGCGGGTTGCATCTCACTGCTGAGGGTTGCAAGCTGGCACCTGAAAGCTGCCTTTAACGAGAGTGTAATCAAACTTGGTGAGACAAGGGCTTTGGCCTCCAGTCTAGAAGGGCACAGGTGCCCCTCTGCTAGGGATAAGCAGAGCCCTGGTGGAAGCAGTGGCACTCGTCACTGTAGCACCTCCTGGTGCCAGGCCAGGGTAGGGCAGAGCTCTGCCCTAGTGCCCTCTGCTGAGCAGTACTGCCACCTTGGGATGGCCTGATTCTGTTACTGCAGCCCCCCACCTCAGCCCCATCTGTGCCAATACCCAGATAGGGTGACAGAAGTACATATAGCAGTCCCAACATCCCAGCCTGCAATCCTGCCAGGCTCGTGCTGAGGCAGTTACACCTCCTCCTGGCCCAGGAACCTCTCCCCACCCTCTACCCTGGGACGCTGCCCAAGGTCCCTATGTTAAGAGCTAGTGCTGTTCCTTTTAGCCATGCTGCTGCTTCCCTAGGTCCCTTCCAGGGGCTTGCCCAGGAGTCTGTAGTAAAACAGCCTCTCCCCTGGCTCACAGATTTCTCCCAGCTCCTTGCTCTGCTGCTGGAACAGGAGCCCCTAGCACTCCTCACCCTCTTCCCCCAGCCAAGGAGGGCTGGCTCTGGAGGGAGTCTCTCTTGCCTGACTCTTCAACAGCTTCGGTCACTAATTATAATTAATTTGCCAGCTCAGGAGGGGTGCTAGGCCCACCCCTTAAAGGGCCAGATAGGCTATAATACTTGGCTAAGTCATTGGGCTGTGTCAGCAGGAAGGGCCTCATAGTGCAAGTGGCTGGCTTTGCATGTGTCTAGCCCATGGCTGATAGGAGCTGGGAGTGTGTGCGCCTCCCATGCAGGTGGCTATGGAGGAAGGTGGTTCTGGCCTCCCAGGGGGGCTGAAGCTTCCCACAAGCACAGCTGGCCCTTGCTACTGGCAAGTGAGCTGCCCAAACACTTAATATGCTGCCATCCCCTTTACCAGCCTCATACCCCCTCTGCACTGGTGGAGGGAAGTGGGTGTTGGCAGGTGAGGGGAAGAGTTCATAATTAGCCCCTGCCCTGCTGCAGGATACTACTACCTCACCTTTTACACAGCTCAGTAGCATCATCTTCATTTCCCAGCTGGGGAAACTGAGGCCCAAGACCACCCAGCAGGCCAGGGCCAGGACTAGAACCCAGGTCTCCCAAGAACCAGTCCAGAGATCTATTCAGTGGGCCACCTTTGCTTTTCTACTTTAGCAACTGCGTTGTTTACTCACCCCAAGGAAAAAGCTTGGTGCTGCCTTGGTTTTTAAAGTGAAGGCCCAGGGACTCCTGCCTGGCTCCCCTAAGCTGCCCCCTTCTAGCACCTCAGTGCACAGAGGAGTGACCTGACCTGATGCTGCAACACTTTGCATTGTTGTTTGTAGTATGGTGACACAGAGAGGTGGCAGCTGGGCTGGGAGCCCTGTTGGGCAGCCCATACACTGAAGAGTCCACAGGGCAAAGGGTGTCAGATCCCCCCATGACAGAAGAACTGAGGCACAAAGTGATAACATGACTTGCCCACGGTGTGTGTCACAATCTGGGGCACAGCAGGGCACTGACCCCACATTGCCTGACTCACACAACCCTACCACTCCATAATCAGTCCCTGGAGCCCTGCAGTTCTGCCAAGACGACACAGACACCAGCTCTTGCTTTCTATTCCAGTGAGAGGCCCACATGGCACCAACAGGCGTCAGTTAAAAAAAAATGCACTTTATTTACATAAATTACAAAAACCACAAACTTGGTCACAAAAAGATCTACGC